ATGATAAATAACATATTTATGTATAATATATTACATTTCTGACTGTATAGCCCTGTAATTATTACACACTGTAGCTTTAAGTTAAAATAAGTATATTATTATCTCCAACAAACCAAAACCAAAGATCTGTCAAAGAAGCTCTGGGAGAAGATGCATATCAGCCCAATGGTGGAAATTGGCTCCAGAACTCTTAGCAGCAATGGATGTGACATTGAATGTTTTAATTCAGAAATATGAAATGAACATTAATCACCCTTTGTGTGGAGCTCCATGTAAGAAAAGGCCTCAAAGCTTCAAGATGATAACATAAAATGTGACAGATCCGCTCACAGGAACAAAAGAGCTGCTATCTAATAATGGGAACCACAGTCAAAAGGACACCATTGGTCCAACAATAGATTCATATCAGCCCCCTACTATTGGAGAAACATGTACAGGCCTGTCTTCAGTGATCCACTGCTAAGAGTTGTCAGGATTTCGATTGCTCATGTGAGGACAACTTAATTCAAATGCCAAGTATGAGCCAAAAATCACCATCCCTGCAGTCAAGTGCACGGTGGAAACATATTTTCAGGCTGTTTTTCTGCACAGGAAATTTGTCTGAGGAAAATTTATGCAAATTGAAGAACATTTCACTCACAGATAACATTTGGTTCCTTTCAACAAGTGAAATAATCTTCTGATAGAGCTCTGTTTTTAAGAGTACAGTTTTCTCATTTTAGATTTAGAGTCAAATTAATTAAAAGTCACATATTTTAGCATCAAGCAAGAGTCTGGCTCTTTAAGCACCTAATCAGCACAGCATAAATGGCCAGAGATGTCAAAACATGATGGAGAAAATCAAATTTCCCTTTTGCGCAAGCACCACCTTCTTTATTGATTGCTTTAAAAATCTGCTCCCACTATTGCTCAAATATATCAAACCCTTCAACTCAGAGTTAAGTAAAAGCTGCTCATTTGGAGGTGAAGGCTTTTAACTCTTCAAAAATGACCTAAATATTTCAACTGTTTTAACTCCAGGTAACATAAAATCCTGGACAAAAAACAGACTTTAAATGAGCAGCAACTTGCTAAAAATAAGACATGTCTCACTAATTGAGGAGAGCTTGGTTATTATTGATAAACCTGAAAATCTATTGATAAATCTTTGAATGACCTTTATAAATTAAAGAAGGCAGATGCTTTAGACTTTTTTTTAGCAAACTGTAAGAAAGTTTGGCTGCTTTAAAACAAAATATAAAAAAGGAAAAGTCATAACTCTTTGCAAAAAAAGAATCTAGTGCTGCTTTCATTGTTGCTCCAAAAATGAGACGCAACCAAAGCGCTCCATTTGAATTATTAAAAGCCTTTTCCAAAGTTTTAATTGGATTTTCTTCACAAAGCAGAAAGTGTTCCAAATCAATCTACTCTCCGAGGGTCGTTCTTCCATTCAGAGCAGCAGTGACTATATATATGGAAATAGATGTGGATTCTGAATTATTAAAACTTGTTTTTACATGAATGTTGAAGGCACAAAAGAAACGTCAAATGTTTTCTCTAAGAAAGATGTGAAAAGGTTTTCTGTGTAATTTAAAGTGACAAACGTTGGTTTAGCCTCTTTCTGTCTTTTTTTCTTTTGTTGTTGTTGTTTTTTTTCATATATTAATGACACAAACTCACTTGTTTGGCCGGTGATCCGGGATGGTCCGGTCCAGAGAGATCCTGTCGCTGAGGTAGGCATTGTAGCCGTACTTCTCCTTTAGGTATTTGGCATCGTTCTCCTCCAGTGGTGAAAGCGTAGCAGCGACGCCGCCTTTACCCCGACCCCCAAAGCCTTCAATCAGGCCCAGGGATTTGGACAGACCTGTTTGAAATAGACAAAGCAAAATTTCATGTCAGGAGCCTTTAGGTTGCTTGGGTTATTCTCCTCTGTTTAGGACCTACACACACACTAGGCCCCATCTAAACATATTAAATCTATAAACAGCTGGGTCTTTAAGACGCACTAGTAATGGAATACAAGAAATCTTTTGCCACATTCTTTTTAAGTTTAATGAAGATTTTGCTTTAATTGCCAAAAAAAATTCCCAATGAACGGGAGAAAGATTTTAAAGTAAAAAATCAATAATAATTTGAGATTATTTGGGTTTTTATAAGTATTTATCGGTGAAGAGACACCAAAAGACTCATTTTCCAGGCAAACTGTCTACTTTCTAATAAAGAGGAACCTTTATTCTCTGCAGTCGACCCTGACCTCAAACCGCTTTACTCTTCAGGGATTAATTAGGTATTGTTGAGGATTCCTTTAGAAAAAAGCTATTTAAATCCATCCTATTTATTGAAACTGATTTGAAATGTTTATCTTACACGAGTATATACATGCTGGCAGTTTCTCACATTAATAATGTAGGAAATTATGATAACAATTGGTATATTCCTTTGGGTTTTTAGGGATAAAATATAAGTGCTCTCATTATTTCTCATCAGTATCTAAAGGGGGAATATTCTCAGGGAGCCTTGGTGCATATTGTACAGAAAGCATTAGCATTTTGTAATTATTAATATTCAGAATCACTCTACTAACCTTTTACATCATATAAATATATCATTTAGCAAAGGTGAGCGTGGAAAGGAACTGAGAAGGAATAATCAGAGTATCATGAAATGATTAAACAACAGTGATCTTTCTGGTTGCATAGATTCCTATCAGAACCACCGGTGTGTTGAGGTAAAACCAGAACAGGCTCACAGCAACTTAAAAGATTAAAAAATCCAAAATAACAGCGAAGGAAAGCAACCTCGCAAATGACTCATAAAAAAGGAGATCCAACTTGTCTGTGGTTCCCATCAGGCTCTTTTCTTGCCTTGGGTTCTTTGGCTCAACTCAGGACTCGATAAAGCTGCCCTCTGACAGCATCCGGCTTAGATCAACAGGGAAACTTTAGAAAGCATGCCAAGTATATATATATATATATATATATATATATATATATATATATATATATATATATATATATATATATATATATACAGTATATCAAAAAAATTTTCTACCAATTGTTTCAAAACCTTTTATTCGTGTTTCTTAGACTGAGACAGTTCCACAAGCAAAAGCAAGAATATCTATTGTGGTTGAATTAGTTGTGTATTAGAAGACTCAACATGTATTACTACTTTCTTACATAATAAACAAAGCAAAAGGCCTTTGTGTCAAAAGCAGAGACAAGATCATTTAATTCCTATTTAATTAAATTCTCAGGCATCTAAACTGTGTCTGTCATAAACTGTGCAGGTTCTGACATTCACCTCAAATAGTTAAGCTCAGTCTGAAGTCATTAAGAGGAAGGTTTCTAAAGTGATTTGAATGTTTACTGAGAGCTTATCTGTGCAAAAAGACACTTATCTGAGCTTTCATAACTCAACAATGATTATTATTTTTGTAGCAATCAAATTACAGAGTGATGATTAGATTCTTAAACTGTAATGATTTAGGCGATGATGACTGACTTAATTTCTTATTTCATTCACCTGTCCAATTCTGCCCAGTTTCCTCATCACCGCTCATCTGATCCACCTGCACCTGCCTCTATTTAAGCTGCTTGCTCCCATTCTTCAGCGACAGATTATTCTTGAGCCTTTAGTGTGAGAGTTTTCTAACATTACTGATAAGGCTCTGGTTGCAGAACTTTGAGCCTGCCATCCCCTGTTCTGATCTGTTTGCCTAACCTGTCTTTAGATTCTGTTGGATTCTACTGTGGACTGAACCTGGATCTTTCTCTTGACTTCACCCTCTGGATTATTCTGACTTCCTTCATCATTTGTTTGGATCTGATCTCCTGTCAGTTTTGCGTCCTTCAAGGCTTCGGTGTATGAAACTCTCTGTGCATC